TAAAAGGGGTAACTTCTCTGATATGAGGGGACATGTGGGGAGGAGACTGAAAGGAAAAGTAGAAAGGGTCAAAACCACTGGGGAAGCTTGGAGACTATTTAAAACTAGGATCCTAGATGGGCCATTGGCCTGATCCAACATTGGCTTCTCGCATGTTCTCTTATGTTCCTAAGTTCATGCCTCAGTGGCCACACATTTTAAGGTGCTCCTGGACTCTTGCTCTTTGCTGCTTTTGTAAGACAGTCACCAACTCAGTTCAGATATCTGATGACGGGAGATCTTACTCCCCCCCAAAAAAAAGGTCATTTTGTTCCCAAAGGTGCTTCTGGGCTCTACTGCAGACTCACATGGTTACCCTCTGACTCGGGTCTCATAAGAACATCAGAGAAGCCAACGTTGGATCAGGCCAGTAGCCCATCCAGTCCAACACTGTCATACAGTGGCCAAAAATACCAGGTCAGACTGAGAGTTCCTGTCTATACCTTCCTGCCCTCCCACTGTTGCCCCCCCCCAGTCCCTAAACAGGGAGTTATCCATCCTCCATTTAAAAAAACAAACCCCCAAAGCCATTCCTGCAGGAGAAAGTACATGGTCAGTTATTGCCCAGCCTCTAATTTGCCCTTCCTGAGTAAGATGCTATCCCAGCCCTTGGGGAACCCCCCCCCCGTCCTCTGCTGCCACAGGCCCCTTTCACTCGGGGGTCAGGCCAGGGGGCTCCGGGATGGCCAGGAATTTCCCTCTGAATGCAGGGAAGGGCTGGGTCTTTTTGTTGTGCTCAGTGGATTTATCAGCAGAGCTCAATAGTGTGGAGGGTCTTGTTGAGGTGTTGGAGGTGGAAGCAGAGATTAAGGGATGTGCCTTGAATTGACTTACATCATTCCTCCTGGGCAGATCTCAAAGGGAAGGAGGTGGAGGAGGAGGAGATTGGATTTATACCCTGTCCTGCACTACCGGAAGGAGTCTCAGAGCGGCTTCCAATCTCCTTTCCCTTCCCCTTCCCACAACAGCCACCCTGTGAGGTGGGTGGGGTTGAGAGAGCTCTTGACGGAAAGGGCTCTTTTCCAAGAACAGCTCTTATCAGAACTACGGCTTGCCCAAGATCATCCAGCTCCCCAGGGCACGGTCTTATTCCCCCATACTAGCTGATCTGGATGTAAAGCCCTTAGAGGAAGTTTTTTATTTAATGTATGTATTATTTGCATTTATATCCCACCCAGCCCGCAGATGGGCTCCGGGCGGGTAACATCATCATTATAATAAATACAGCTTCATCCATCCTTTGGGAGTCAGCTGCCCCCAAAATGCTGACGACGACACCCGGCTCTTCTTCTCCTTTCTCCAGGTCCCGCAGTGATATGGTCAAGGTCTTGAGCCAATGCCTGACTACTGTGCTTAAATGGCAAGGTGAACACAAGCTAGCAAGACGGAGGTGACATGGTTTCCTTTCCATGTTTGGCTGCCACCATGTTCGAGTTGAGGCAATTTAAGTCCATAGCTAAACAGCATCCAATTAACCTGGGGCAACAGCCAGCTGAAACTGGGCTGACCACTGAAGGGAGGGAATGTAATACAGAATGGGGGGAAACCCCGGGAAAAAAAGAAGGTTGAGCTCGATTTTATTGCAGACCTGGATTAAAAAGAAGGTTGAATTCGATTTAATGCAGAATTGCTTGGAGGACCCCACGGTGAGCATGGATTAAAAGGAGAGGGCAGGAAGGGCCATTGTCTGGGAAGGCTGAGGCCTTGAGGGGTGCTGTGCTCCCCACCCGCACCGGGGTTCAGCTGAGACTCACTGACTCCCTTCAGACCAGGCCTATGACTGCTGTTCTGCAATCAGTCATCGAATCATAGAATGTTAGAGTTGGAAGGGACCTCGCAGGTCATCTAGTCCAACCCCCGGCACTCTGCAGGAGCAGAGCCGAAAGACAGCCCTGCAACATACCCGAAAGAGGGCCGCCCAGCCTCTGCTCGAAAACGTCCAGCGGAGCCTCCACCACCTCCCGAGGCAGACGGTTCCACGGCTCAACCACGCTTACCGTTAGGAAGTTTCTCCTGATATTTAGCCGGCATCGACTCCCTTGTAATTCCCACCTATTAGATCTAGTCTTGCAATCCGGAGCAAGAGAGAAGAGATCTGCTCCATCTTCTACATGACAGCCCTTCAAATACATGTCCCCTCTAAGCCTTCTCTTTCCCAGGCTAAACATACCCAACTTTTTCAGCCTATCCTCATAAGACTTGAATTCCAACCCACTCACCATCCTGGTTGCCCTCTTCTGGACACACTCGAGCTTGTCAATATCCTTCCTAAAATGTGGTGCCCAAAACTGGACACAGGACTCCAGGTGAGGCCTGACCACAGCAGAATAGAGCAAAACCACCACCTCCCTTGATCTGGACACCAGGCTTCTGTCAATGCATCCTAAGATTGCATTCGCTTCCTTCGCAGTCACATCACACTGCAGGCTCATGTTTAGCTTGTGATCAACCAGAACACCTAGATCCCTTTACATGTGCTGCTGTCAAGCCAAGTCCCTCCCATTCTATATTTGTGCCTTTGGGTTTTTGTACCTAAGTGTAGGACTTTGCACTTCTCTCTATTGAAATTCATTTTATTTGTCTCAGCCCACTGTTCCAGCCAATCCAGATCATTTTGAATCCTGACTCTGTCTTCTTTAGAATTAGCAATCTCACCCACCTTCGTGTCATCCGTAAATTTGATAAGCATCCCCTCTATGTCTTCCTCCAGGTCAGTTATAAAAACATTGTACAACATCGGGCCCAGGACTAAGCCCTGAGGCACTCCACTCGAGACTTCCATCTACGATATCCACAGCATTGCCAGAGTCAACCATTTTAGTAACTCTGACAAAAAAGAAGGTTGGTCTGGGATATTCTTGATAAACCCATGCCGGCTACTACCCATTAACTCATTCTGTTCAAGGTGCTCACAGAAAGAGCGTTTAATAATCTGCTCTAGAATTTTTCCAGTCCATCGGCTGCCTACTTGTTCCTGGGCTCAGTTGAAGGTACTCGCCATCGCATTTTTTGGAAGTGAGCCGTGACTCCTGAAAGCTCCTCCCCTGCCACATATTTTGTGAGTCTTTAAGGTGCTCCTGGACTCTTGCTCTTTTCTACTACTTGCAGACAGACAAACATGGCTACCCATCTTAAGGCTCTTCCTGGCTCTGGTCCCTTGTGTCTGCGAGACCACCCCTCCCGCTACGCTCTGCCGTGACAACCTAGCTCACCTGAGCAGGGCCTTCTGCAGGGGCCAGCCTGCACATGGGCCAGATCCACGACTGCCCGGACACACGCCTTCTCCACTGTGGCCCCCACCTTGTGGAATGGCCTGCCGGAGGAGGTCAGGATTAGGAAGATGCCCAGACTCCCAGCATTTTGCAAACTATGCAGAACTGAACAGAGTCTGAGTCCAGTGGCACCTTGAAGACCAACAAAGTTTAATTCTAGCTATAGGCTTTTCATGTGCATGTACACCAAAGCTGTTACCCAGAATGAAACCGTGTTGGTCTTAAAGATGCCCCCACTGGACTCGAACTTTGTGCTGTTGCTTCCGACCAACACGGCTGCTGCCCCATCTGAATCTATGCAAAACTGAAGAACAAATGTAGAGTCCAGTCAGGCACCTTTAAGACCAACAAAGGTTTATTCAAGGCATGAGCTTTCGTGTGCCAGGCACACCGTTTCAAATACATTTCAAATATATTTGAAAAATTCTGCCTGGCACACAAAAGCTCCCGCCTTGAATAAAACCTTGGTTGGTCTTCGAGGTGCCCGACTGGACTCTAAATTTGTTCTACTGCTTCAGACCAACACGGTTGACTAACTGGATCAAAACCGAATAATTCAGGAGGACATTTTTACTTATAAAGGTAAAGGTCTCCCTTGCTCGAGAGCCAGTCGAATCCGACTCTAGGGGGCGGTGCTCATCTCCATTTTCAAGCCGAAGAGCCAGCGCTGTCCGATGATGGTTCCATGCCCAAGTGGCCGGCATGACTAAAGGCCGAGGTGCACAGAATGCTGTGACCTTCCCACCGAAGTGGTACCTATTTATCTACTTGCAGTTTCTTGCTTTTGAACTGCTAGGTTGGCAGGAACTGGGGCCAGAGACGGGAGCTCACTCCATCACACGGCACTTGGGTCTCAAACTGCCGAACTACAGACCATTAGGTCTGCAACTCAGAGTCTTAAGCTTTGAGCCACCGCATTTTTTTTTTAACTTAATAGGACTACATATTATAATGGACCAGTTCAGAGGGACGCTTTAATAAAGAGAAAGGGACTGGGTATAGTATGTGCTGTCTGTTGCTGGGTGTATGAACCTACCGTGCAATTGTGGCAGCTGTTTCACCCGTCATGTTAGGACTTCTGCTCTGCTTCCGCTCCGTGTCGCACACCTGCCTGGCCTCAGATTTCCGCGGTCCTCATCCTGTTGCATCACTTCTCAGAGCTCTCCTTTCGTCCTGTTGATTGTCTTGACTTGGGCTGTCTCATCTGCCTTCAGTCTTGGTGAGGAAGGCCAACTACAAAGTATGTAAGTAAATGAACAAAACACGATTTTGTAAATTGACCTGGGCAATAAGGAGGACATAAACTTCAGCATTCTAGACAAAGGAAGAAGACAGCCTTCTGGCCCCGGCCGCCAGGAAGCAGGCACAAGTGGAAACCTGCAGACCACCTTCCGCACAAAGTGTATGGGGGGTTTAGTGGGAGGGGGAGTGTAAACTCTGGCCCCACCAGGTTAAGAACATAAGAGAAGCCAATGTTGGATCAGGCCAAAGGCCCATCCAGTCCAACACTCTGTGTCACACAGTGGCCAGAAATACCAGGTGCCATCAGGGGGTCCAGCAGTGGGGCCAGGACACTAGGAGCCCCTCCCCACTGTTGACCCCCCGCAAGCACCAAGAAGACAGAGCATCCCTTGCCCCAGCCTGAGAGTTCCTGTCTATACCTTGTGACTAAGAGTCACTGATGGACTTCTCCTGCTCCATATGCTTATCCAATTCCCTCTTGAAGCCGTCCTTGCTTGTAGCTGCCACCACCTCCTGTGGCAGTGAATTCCATGTGAGAGAGGCACAAAGTAGCAGAAAGAGGTGCAACCCATACTAATGCCCCCCCCCCACAATTACCAGACTACCAGGCCCACGGTTTCCTGCCCCCTGCCATCACCAAGTGAGGGTCCAGATGTTCGGGGATCCCACAGAGGAAGAGACCAGCAGGTCCCCTGTCCCTGGGTGTTCCATGCAAACAAGGCGGAGATGGACACAGTCCATCCACACACACACCATGTACACACCAGCTCCCTCCTGGCCACTTTCCTAGGCCTGGGGCCAGAGGGAGGGGCAGGTGCTTCCCCCCCCCCATCCAGGAACAGAAAGATCTGTGTTTGCTGTTCCCTTCTGCACGGGGGTGTCAAGGAGGGGAAGTGCCGGAGCCCTGGCCGCAGCTGCCTGTGGCCACCCTTTGAACATGTTTGACCACTCGGTTGGGGTGGGGGGCGCCTTGTTTGCAGAGCTGCCTTTGAAGGGGGGGTCTCTCCCTCCTCGCGTGAGGGGTGGGCCAGGTGACTCCAGCCCTACCAAGTCCTGCCCCGCTCAGGCCGCCTTTGTCTCTGGGACCTGCCGGCCAGGGGTGCTCTTGAGACCGAAAGGGGGAAAATCTGTTTTACGAGCCGGGCCTTTCATCTCCCCCCTTTACAAGGCCCTATTTGCACTGGCCCAAAAGCTCATTCCGGATGGGCTCCACCCACCGCAGACCCTGGACAAAACCACGCGGCGAAGAAGCCGGGCTGGCCTTTCATTCCTGGGGGGCCACCTTGAGCGTATATGGCCTCAGGGCTGCAATCCACCAGCCAGGAGGGGCCATTCGGGTCCACAATCCTTTGCCTCCTCCAGGCGGGCCATGCCTGCGATGGCGCAAATGTCCAGCACCTCCCAGCAGAGAAGCAGGCCACAGGGACCCTTGCTGAGTCCCCACCAAGAATGCGGCCATGCAGTCCCCAACTGCACCATCACTGGCTGCTTCCCCTGAAGTTTCTGGGTTCTTTGTGCAGCCTGGGGGGTGGGCGGGGGGTGGGCAGGAGAAGCTCTGACCAGCACCATCCTGGGTGAGTTTCAGCCTGCCCCACGGTGGTTAGTTGCCAACTCTGTGTGAGCGGTTAAGAGTGGCAGACTCTAATCTAGAGATCAGCTGTGTAATTTCAGGATCTTTCCAGCCCCTACCTGGAGGTTGGCAATCCCACTTAGAATCACAGAATCTCATAGAGTTGGAAGGGACCTCCAGGGTCCAGCCCTCTGCACAATGCAGGAAATTCAAAAACCGCAGTGACCCCTGTTCTATGCCCAGAAGATGGCAAAAAACCTCCAGGATCCCTGGTCAAACTGGCCTGGAGAAGAATCGCTTCCTGACCCCACAGTGGCGATCAGCATCTTCCTGGGCGTGTAAGAAAGGGCCACGAGAACTGAGAACTAAGCACTGAGGCAACCCTTCCTGCCCTCCCTCTCATGATCTGCCTAAATTCACAGAATCCACATGGCTGTCAGATGGCTGTCTAGCCATCTTGGAATAAGATACTGTGTCCTGTTTGAGTTAGGCTATGTTCAGCCACTGCTGATTTTTCAGGTTGGCCCAGTCTGCAGTGTCTTTCATGTTCTTTTATTCTTGTCTGAATGCTACACTGTGTGGTCACGATGTAAACCTCAATAACACATCTAGCCTCTGTTTGAAAACCCCCAAATAAGGAGAGCCCACCACCTCCTGAAGAAGCCTGTTCCACTGAGGAACCACTCAGTTTGGTGTATTGGTTAAGTGCGCGGACTCTAATCTGGGAGAACCGGGTTTGATTCCCCACTCCTCCACTTGCACCTGCTGATGTGACCTTGGGTCAGTCACAAGTTCTGGCACAGCTGTCCTTGAAAAAGAGCAGTTTGTGTCAGAGCTCTCTCAGCCCCACCCACTTCACAGGGTGTCTGTTGTGGGGACAGGAAGGGAAAGGAGTTTGTAAGCCGCTCTGAGACTCCAAGTGAAGGGCCGGGTATAAATCCAATCTCTTCTTCTTCTTTACCTGTCAGGAAGTTCCTCCTAATGTTTACCCGAAAACTCTTCTGATTTAATTTCAACCCGTTGGTTCTGGTCGCACCTTCTGGGGCAACAGAAAAGAACTCCACACCATCCTCTAGCTGACAGCCATTCAAGTACTTGAAGATGTTATCATATCACCTCTTAGTCGTCTCCTCTCCAGGCTAAACATACCCATTTCCTTCAACCTTTCCCCATAGGACTTGGTCTCCAGACCCC